CTAGCCATCATAGCCTTGTAAGAAGTAGGGGTATCATAATCTAACTTCCTGAATAATTCCCCCGACCTGAGAACATTCATGAACAGAGCAATGGAAGTCTTATCGTCCATAGGCTCCACCTCATTGATTGCTTCATTCCATCTTTGTACCAATTCACTGTTGGTCTCTCCCTCCTTTTGCTTTAGGGAGAAAAGATGGGTGAAGTGCTTTTTTGGCTGGAACCTTCCTCCATAGGCGTTGAGGAAAAGTTGAGCAAGATCTTTGAAGCAATCAATGGTCCCATTAGGAAGAGTGAGGAACCATTTTACGGCCGGCCCTTCCAAGGTTCCTACGAAGAGGCGACATTGGATCTCGTCCTCCACGGCGTGCATCAACATGTGAGTTTGGTACGCAGCCAAGTGATCATTGGGATCGGTGACTCCCTTATAACGGATTTCAGGGGCTTTCTTACCCCTGGGCAGTTGAGCTTTCATCACTCTGGCAGTAAACGGAGAAATTATCTCTACTGTGGGTCCGAAAGACCCGTCCTTGTCAACCTGCCTCTTTAGTTCCTCCATTTCTTTTCTCAATTTGAGAATGTCTCCGGCATCTTCATTGCCGTGCCCCCCAGAATTTTCTCCAGATTCCTCAGTTCTGGGTCCCAACCTTTGGCATTTTTGCGCATCCTCTTATGTACTGATATGCGCCCTTGACTTTCCACCTCCTCATCCTCTCCTTGACCGGTTTCTCTCCCGGTCCCTTGGGACCGGGCCTCTCCTTCCTTGTTGAGCCATCCGATTAACTTTCGGACTATGGGGGAGTTTGCGTCGAATTTTTCTGTTGCTGCATGGGAATCCTTTGGATGAGAACTCTTAGGGGCTTTAGAGTGGAAACTGCGTTCACAAGATTTGTCTTGTGTTTCACGCCTGAATTGGGAGAGAGTTATTTGGTGTCTGAGATCCTCAGATGAAAGCTTCTCTTTCCCTTCCAAGTTGGTTCGCGCCTTAGCAGCAATTTTGTTCCTCTTGGACCGATTTTTGCCCATGGTAACAGTTGGAAACTTTTTCTTGATGAAAAAGGCGGACCAACGGGAGATAGCGGCCCCTGAGCAAGAAATCGGTCCTCCTGTATGACCGGCTGATAAATGCGGTCCTCTATGGAAGATCGGTCCTCCTTTCACTCTTTTTTTTTTTTTGAACAATGGACCGACTAAAAGGAGGAGTCCTTCTGGGTGGACCGCGAACTTATCCCCTTCACTTGGAATGGACCGCTAATTCTCCCCAGGTCTAGGAAGAGGTCTTTCCGAGTGAACAAGAGTGAGATAGGCTCGCTATCAACTCCCTAGAAGGTTAGGAAGCTTCAATCGGTCCCACGGTCGGCGCCAGTGATGGATACCCAATATTTTCCTAAGGACTGTAGATCGGCCCAGGTCCAAATATAGGTATCCGGGCCTTATAATATTGAAAGAATAATACGAGAATAGTAAGTAATAGTAATTGGGACACTGCTCACGAAACAAGAACTAAGACCGGCGGTCCTCTCCTTTATCCAGTCCTCTCAGGAACGGAATATGCTTAAGGATCGCCGGAATATCTTTTATTATTACTCAAGTATTTTCTCTCTCTATTCCAAGATGATCTTAATCTCTCAATCCTTCTCTCTTTTATAGGCGCTTCCATCCACTTTCTCCTTCAATATGGCAGTGGTCAGGGGGAATGTTCGTGCCAGCCCTCATTCCCTGGGGGAATGTACCTCCACTTGAGGCCGTCCACTGGAGGACAAACCTAGTCGTCCCTTTCTTGTTCCCTGTCCGTCCTTTTCTCTTCGTCCTTGTCCCTCCGATAAAGGGGGGACTGCTCTAGACTCCTCCATAGGATTCCTTTCCTTTTAGGGTTGCTTACTCCTAATGGGCTGGCTCCAGCCCATCCTTAAACCCCACTTTTCTTCCTTTTCCTATCTTCCTTCACGGACAGACTCCCTTTGACCGGCCCGATATATTTTACCCGGGCCGGACGCTCCTTTTGATGGACGGGATCCAGGTTGGGCCTAGGCCCAATTCGCCAGTATTCTTCTCGATGGGCTTGGTTCCCATCACAAGCTTTAGATATTAAATCGTACTACCTTCTCATTTTAAATTGCCTGTTTTCCTTTTTTGTTAGTCCCAAAATAAGTTGCATGTTTCTTATAATAATAAACTTTTAAGGATAAAATATCTAAACTAGCCCTAAAATAAATCACTCCTCTCCACCTTACCTTCTCATTCATCACTATCGCTGTAAAAAAAGTAATGCATTTTTGAAAAATCAACACCATTTTTTCCATTCTTTAAATATGTTCCAAAATCAAAACGGTCAATATAAAATAGAACGGAGGAGATATTATTTTTTAAGATATTGGGAGTATTTAAAAGGACCATGCTACACTTACACAAAAAAATATACCACATTTATACACCACAGGTTTGCACAAACATTTCGATGGTTTACACCGACACAAGTGTTGGTGCGTTAATAAAAATTCACACGGAAACAAATGTTGGTGTGTTTAACAAAAATTAGCTTTACACCAACACAAAGTGTTGGTGCAAAACTGCGGGTACAAATTGGGGTAGAAACCCTTGGGGTACACATAGCATAATCCTATTTAAAATTGTGGCGGCGGCGGCTAGTAGAATGTCAAATGTCAACTTGCCTAATTTGGAAAGGCGTCTTAAGTAGTCCCACAGTCAACTTTGCCTAATTTGTTTCGGAGCCATGCCTTCCAAGTTGTACCCTATTTTTAACTTCAATGCTTTTAAGTTAAATTGTATAGTAAAAAATTGTGCACATGAAAAAAAAAACAATAATTTTTTGACAAAAAAATCCAAAAGTGGAAAGTAGAACATTTTTTCTGGACAGACGAAAAGAAAATAGGAAAATTATTACGGAACAGGGAAAGTCACAGTGAAAGAAATATATACTTAAACAAAATATGTATGAGAAAATTATCTCAAATAATCTCACCTTTTTGCGTACTTTAAAAAAATAATCGTATTTTTCACTGTCACCAGAAATAATATCACATTTTCGCATAGGTGCGAGTTTTGGGTCACCGTTAAAAAGCTAATGGCTATTTAACGGATTTTATTTTTAGAAAATTTTTATTTTTTTGCAAATAAATGAAAAGCGATATTATTTTTGGTAAATTCTCTTTTTTTCATTTTTTAATTTCTAAAATTAATTTTAAAGGTAGTTTTTAAAAATGTTAGTGTAAATAATACTCCAAATTTAAGTGTTTTTTCAATTGAAACTAATTATTATTTTTTTCCAGTAATCGATAATCTGGAAATAATTAAATAATAAATTATTCTACACAATGGAGCTAATTTATTTACTTCATAACTCACTATATTTCGTTGTAAGTTGCAATTATTTTTCTTAAGCGACGCTTCGAATTGTTTTTTTGATACTATACAATTATTATTTTTTTAAAATGGTACTACAATACTTGTGAATATTTTTTAATAATTCTATATAAATGTTTTTTGCAAAACAACATTACAAAAATTGTGAAAATAACTAACACAAAAATTTTTTTCTCTGAAATGAAACTTTTATTTTAATAACTCACTACATTATTTATTATATTGCAATTTTTTCATGAAGAACATTCCGAAATGTTTATTGATAATCTTAAATTACCTGTGATGGGAACCAAGCCCATCGAGAGGAATGTGGCGAATTGGGCCTAAGCCCAATCGGGACCCCGTCCATCAAAAGGAGTGTCCGACCCAAATAAAATATGCCGGGCCGGTCAAAGGAAGGCTGTCCGTAAAGAAAGATATGAAAAGGAAGAGAAGTGGGGCTTAAGAATGGGCTGAAGCCAGCCCATTAAGGGTGAGCTACCCACGAAGAGAGGAATCCTATGAGGAGTTTGGGGAGTCCCCCTTTCACTTGAAGGAACAGGGACGAGGAGAAAGAGACGGACGAAGGACAGGGAGCAAGAGATGGACAGAAGGCTTTGTCCTCCATTGGATGGCCTCAAGTGGAGATACATTCCTCCCAGAGGATGCAGGCTGGCAGGAACATTCCCCCTGGCCACTGCCATTATTGAAAGGAATAATGGAGGGAAGTGCCTATAAAAGAAAGGGAGACTAGAGGAGAAAGGATCATCTTGTAATAGAGAGAGAAAATACTTGAATAATAATAAAAGATATTCCGGGCTAGGAATTCGTATAAGGCAAGAACTCTCCTGGCCTATTTCCTCTCCTGGCGGCCAGAATCAAGAACAAAACACTCGTCACAGGGTTAATGATAATGAATGATAAGAGCATAATAAGAAAGTTATAATATTCCGGGCCTATGGACATAAACCTGGACCCGGCTAGGTGTCAGGGATCCTTTTATAACCCATAGGTAGTACCTGTATTGTTTTTTCAAAGATGGAACTACCCATAGGGCTGGGTCGGGAAAACCGAAAACCGAACCGAAATCGATCGAAACGAGCTAGAAAAAAAATCGAACCGAAAAAACCGAAACCGAATGTAAAAAAACCGAACCGTTATTGTTTGGTTTTGTTTTGGTTTTTACTTTGAAAAACCGAACCGAATAAACCGAGCTTATTTATATGCTTCATTTTATTTATATGAGTATATGTGATATGTATAAAAATCATATAAACAAAAATGCAAATATGTTACTAGTCGATTAAAAATTTTTCTTAACTATTAATTAAACATTTTAACCATATTATAAATTTTAAAAAATCTAAGAATATAAACACCAATAACTAATCCTAATATAGTACTATATTACATTAAAAATTAATATGAGTAGTTAACATATTTACATAAAAAAAACTTTGATGTAATAATGAAAATGAAAGTATTTTATCAAAAAACATAAATTCTCTGCACTTGATTTTACATACGATACCTTTAGGATTATTTGGAATCTCCTAGATGTTTGTTAGGCACTTGAGACATATTTTGTATGTAAAATTGAATCGAATAGAACGCTAACCTTCCGTTCGGCTTTTTTTGTGTGTAAAAATCAAGCAAAAAAACCAAACCCAAACTTACGTATTGTTATTGCTTCGTCGAGTTAGTATTTATACAATTTTTAATGCTTAAAAATATTTACTTTTATAAACTAAAAAAACCGAAAAAAACCAAAATAAAAACCGCATAAAACCGAATCGAATAACCAACGGTTTACATATTTTTTATGCAAAACCGAACCGAACCGAACCGCCAACTTACCTTCTGTTTTGTCTTTGGTTTTGGGTAAAAACCAAACCGCCAAAACCGAACCCACCCCTAACTACCCAACTTGTCATTTTTATATAATTGAGTACAAATTTTGCCCCAAAATAGTAATTCAAAAGTTGTAAAAACTACACAATATTTTTTTCTCCAAAACTGCACTAATTAATCTCATAACTCACTACAATTTTTTTTGTTACAATTTTTTTCTTGAGCAATTCTCTGAATTATTTCTCAATAATTTAAATTTATATTTCCTCAATAACATAAAATAAAATTTCTAAATCACTATTTTTTTAAAAATTGAAACAAATCTCTAAGAAGCGTGTACTATTATATTTTTAAAAACGTAAATTTTAAAATTAAAATTAAAAAAAGAGAAAAGTAAATTTACCTTAAATGATCTCACCTTTCATTTATTTGCTAAAAACAGACATTTTTCAAAATTCCATTAAATGACCGTTAGCTTTTTAACATCGGCCTGAAATCACACACATGCAGAAAGGTGGAATTATTTCTAATGACAGTAAAAAATAGAATTATTTTTGAAAAAACATGAAAAATGGAATTATTAAAGACAATTTTTCCTCTCTTAAACAAAATATATACTTAAAATACGGAATGGATATGTCAATTTTATTTGACCAGTCTTATTTGACCGCTGTACCTCTAAATGGATCCTAATATAATAATGATGATTGCGCTTTAGTTGACGTACGTACAGTTGCCACAGACTGATTATATATAAATACCACGCTTTACTTTGTCTTCCCATTCACAATCTATACATTAATTCATCCTAATCCCTAATATACAGCATCCTTAAGCCTCAGCAGTTCAAAGCCAATAATATATACTCAGTATTTATACATAGTTTAACTCTCTAACAAAGCTTATCAATCGATCGATAACACAATGGCAACTTCGGGTGTGAAGTGCGAAAACGATATCGTTCGCCCGGTTGTAGACTTCCCTCCCAGTTTATGGGGTGACCAATTCTATTCATACTCCATTGACAATGAGGTAATTCATTTCCCTTCAGTTACTCTATCAATTAATTCTACTGCTAATGTGTTGGTTGTTGACTTGTTGATTTCCAAGCATAAGATTTTATGGATATCTATCCATCATCATTCATATACCACGTAGTATAGTTACTGTTAGGATTATTTATATGATCTAACCATTGATTTTCAAATAAGAAATGAAATCACTTAAGATCTAAACATTGTGTTTTCTGTGCTCACAGGTTGCAGAAGCATATGCAAAAGAGATTGAAATTTTGAAGGAGCAAACAAGGGTGACATTAATTAGTTCAAGCAACTACAATGTCACAGAGAAACTGAAATTCATCGACTTACTAGAACGACTCGGAGTAGCCTACCATTTTGAGAGAGAGATTGAAGATCAACTGCAGCATATTTACATCACCCGTCATCATGCACAACACTCTCATGATGATTTGCAAACTGTTTCTCTTCAGTTTCGCCTGCTCAGACAACACGGCTTCAAGATTTCTTCTGGTGAACACAACCAATACAATTTCAAATAATACCATGAAGCTAGCTATAGTTTTGACATATAAGATTCACTGTACTCACTAGAAATTTGTCTCATATAATATTGATGTGGATGTAGATATATTCAACAACTTTGTTGATAGCAACAGCAAATTCAAGGATACCTCCGATATCAAGGGTTTGTTGAGTCTGTATGAAGCTTCATATGCGAGAACACATGGTGATGATGTTTTGGACAACGCACTCACTTTCACCATGACTCGTCTTCAATGCGTAAATCAAAATTTCAAATCCAACTCCACTCTGGAGAAGCTTGTGGCGCACGCCCTCGAGCAACCATTGCATACTGGCATGCCCAGAATTGAAACACGCTTTTTCATTTCAGTCTACGAGCAAGAAAACGATATGAATCGGAATGACATGTTGCTCTGCTTTGCAAAGTTAGATTATAACTTTCTGCAGATGCTGCACAAACAAGAACTGAGTGAAGTGTCAAGGTTAGTTATTCATTTTTGCCATCATTTCTGCAAATTCTATACATATTCTATAAATACAAACACGCAAACAGCACGTGATTTTTCATTCCATTTTAAAACTCAAGTTTTCTTACAAATGTAGGTGGTGGAAAGAGCTCGACTTTGCGACAACTCTTCCTAATGCAAGGGACAGAGCAGTTGAATGTTATTTTTGGGCACTTGGAGTCTATTTTGAGCCTCAATTTTCCAAGGCTCGAGTAATGCTTGCCAAAAATATTTTAATTGTTTCAATTCTAGATGACACTTATGATGCATATGGTACCATAGAAGAATTGGAGGTCTACACAGATGCTATTTGCAAGTAAGTACCTTATATTTTTGTAAATTGCAAGTCAAATTGCAATATAGAATTGTCTACAAGATCCAATCCTTTTACAAATTTTCTACGTGTAGTATGGTACGATACTTAAAGTTTGTACTAATGAATTTGCATTCCCTTTTAGGTGGAATGTCGACCAAATGGATCGGCTTCCAAAGTATATGAAGATAAGCTACAAAGCTTTATTAGATCTTTTTGACGAAGATGCCAAAGATCTCTCCAGGGATGGAAGATCATACGCTGTTCAACACGCTATGGAGAGGGTAATTACAGTATACTAATTACTTTTTCCATAACAATATGATTCAGTTTTTGCGCTACCTTTATTTTAAATTTTCATTCATAATAATTATTTCAGAAGTCTTATATGTTGTGTTTATTATTAAATTAAATAGATGAAGGAACTTGTGAGATGCTACTTTATCGAGGCCAAGTGGTTTATTGAAGGACATAAGCCTGTATTTACTGAATACTTAAGAAATGCATTCGTTAGTTGTACCTACTACTTGTTAGCAACAATATCTTGCTATGGAGTGAAGTCTGCTGATGAACAAGTATTTGACTGGTTAATTAAGAATCCAAAAATACTTGAGGCAAGCGTAGCCTTATGCAGGCTTATCGACGACATCGCTACCTTTGATGTAAGAAATGCATATATATTATATAAAAATCCATATTTTTTGGTATGGTAAATTCTTTCATTATATATGCTTAACTAATTATTTCTGCTAATTTTACCAACCACAGGTTGAGAAAGATAGAGGACAAGTTACAACCGGTATTGAATGCTACATGAATGAACATAGTGTATCACTAGAAGAAGCCTTGGAAAAGTTCCAAGAATTAGCCAAAATCGCATTAAAAGATTTGAATGAAGGAAATCTTAAGCCAACACCTGTATCTGGAGATATACTCTGGCGCATTGTAAACCTTGCTCGGATTGTTTTTGTTACATACCAACACAACCAAGATGGATACACTCATCCTGAAAAAGTCTTGAAACCTCACATAATTGCATTGCTTGTGGACTCCGTGCCACTCTAGCTTATCAATAATGTACCATAATAACCCCATGCATTAGGGGTATTGCTTTATATGCCTACATGCAAAAAAATCCTTCATTTTTTTTTTCAAATTTGTTTTTCATTTGAGTTCATATAGTATATTTGTGAAAGTGGAATCTCTAAATTGTACATCATAAGATATTGTGAACTTGTTCCCTCTATGTAGTTTATTCTTGAGCTATTAATAATATCATGCAATAACCTTAATCTTCAATATTATCATCAACATATAAAGATAAATGAAATCTACACAAAGCAGAACTAAAAACCAGATATTGTTCTTAGAACCCATATTCCTGCAAATATGATCCCTATAACAATGAGTAATCACAAGCATTAAGCAAGACTTGTAGAATGAAGAAAAGAAGTAACACTACTACAGTCTACAACTTATTTCACCCATAGTCAATGGGCAGTGCAGTGCCCCCCATCTATTAGACTTAATAAATCAAATTACACTGGGTAACAACAACAACAACAACAACAACAACAACCCAACTTGATCCCACAAGAGTAGTTTCTGGGACAAATTTGGAGAAATTACAGTGGGTAACAATGACAAAAAAAACGAGTTACTTGATATTGGTCTAATCAGCAGTAAGTACTAAAGTAAATATGTTAAGATTTCAACTTTTATTCTCCTTTTCAAAGGGTGTGGTTGTTTCCAATTGCAAGGGTGGGATAAAATGAGATATAAGAAGGGATCATCTGAATCTTTGATCTAGCACCAATGGCTAAGATTAAGTCTTCATTATCCAACCAGGCCTTAATTTTATTTCAAGAATTGGTTTGCTCTAACGCAGTAAAGCTCTAAAACAATTTAATAGAAACATTGTGGTAAATTAATTGCATGCATTACCTAACTCATTTCCTACCCCTATCTTCTATGTGAATTTTGTGGCTTTTGGGTGTATGATCATTATTGGTGTTGTTGTTAGAACAACTGTTGAGAACTATTAAAAGTAATGCTTGTAGTTGTTGCAGTTGTGATGTAATATTAAAGATAAAGGTATTTTCTTAATAGTGGGTGACTTTATGGAGAAGTAAATCTTAATTTTAAAAATTGCGGATAGTGTCCGATAATGCAAGTTACTGTAGCTAAACTACAGTAAGATGCTGGAATGAAACACTAGAACAAACCAAAAGGGAAGCTCAAACTCTAAATAGAACGCAGCCTATGTAATTCTATTGTATCATTCATCACTCTAACAACAATGATATTATTGTCATGAAAAATGACTGGCCAAATCCTATTTTCATTTTTATTAAGTATGTATTGAATATCGATATCAATTACCATAAAAAAGATGAGAACACAAACTTTTCTTTTCAACAAAAAAGACACTAAAATACGGAGTAATTGTTTTGGGAAAAAAACACAAATATGCAATCACGATTTAGAATTGAATTACGTCACAATGTATATGAGCTTGTTCAAAGCATGGTATAAACCTGGTATAACAGAACCTGTGATTGCAATATTAAGGAAAGATTTTGAAAGAGTGGCTTCAATGGTGTTAGTGTAATCCAATACAGATTCTTACACTGTTATTCACCAGAAATGTAAAGTCTGCTTGGAAATAAGCAATGCTTGCTAGGAACTAACTTTCCAGCTTGCAAATTAGAAACATACTGAGTATGTATTACCTTCTCCAGGGAAACAAAGGTCTAATATCAACATTTCACACCACATCCAACAGAACGTAGCCTCCTCCCCGGCCCTAAAATCCTTAATTCGAATGATATAAAAGCAAAGATGTTTTCCCAAGAGATGAAATTGATAAACCATACCTCAATCAGACCGGTGCGGATGAAATTTAGGGAAGGATGGGTGTCGCCGGGTCTGTGACGCGATGGTGGATAAAGGGATCACCTGGCCACTGATGGGACTGAGCGCTGAAGCGGTCGCCTGGGAAAAGAATTACAGGTTAGTTCAATCCCGTAGGGATTAAGCTATATTTGTACCAGCAGGTTTGCAATTTTGCATTGTGGTGGTAAAGTTGGCGTGATTGTTCACACACAAAATTTAGTGCAAATACTCCCTCCGTCTCATTGTCTTTGTCCACTTACCTTTTGGCACACCATCCAATGTACTTCTTTAATCCATTTTATCTTGTAATTTGTATATTAAAAAATTATAGAAATTATATATTAATAATCTATATGTTAAGACGAATCAAATAAGATCACACATGACTATTTTTAGGCTTACACATTGAGAGAATTTGATGAGTCAAAGTGCTTAGATGAACAGTTCCAAAAATCAAAAGTAGACAAAGACAGTAGGACGGAGGTAATATTTATTAATGTATTAACATTTTGTATCAATGTGAATGATAAAAATGTTAGTATATATCTTTGGTGTAACTTTGAGGTACACTTTTTGATTTAAGTGTAGCATGGTTGTTCCCGTATAAAAAGGTTACTTTAGAATAGCAAATTTTATGATAGACTTAACATTCACTATAGACCTGAGTAAAATAAGTATTTCTTAATGAGAGAAAGATCAAAATAGGACTAAGGCTTCATTCCGTTCAACTCATTTTTTCTGATCTGATCTGACATTTTGAGGTTCTGATCTGATCTGATTGGATCTGATCTGATCTGATTGGATTTGATCTGATCTGGTCTGATCTGATTGGATCTGATCTGATTTGGTCTGATCTGATCTGATTAATTATGATTTGATTTAAAATTTAAATCAATAATTTTATTTGACTTTATAATAACGTTTGAAAATTTTAATTATAATTCATATTATAATATAATAAATATTTTTAATTTTATGATTATTTTTTAATAAAATAAAATTAGTTAATTCACATATTAGAATAATCATTCATATTATAATGTAATAATATTTTTTATTTTATGATTATTTTTTTATAAAATAAGAATATTGATTTAATATTTTAATAATTAGTTCATATATACATTAGAATATAAATTTAATTTATATATACATTAAAAAGTAATTAAATTTAGACAATCAATATAGAGAAGAGATAGTATTTTTATTAAAATATCTCATTCTTATAAAGATCAAAACTTCAGAAACTCAAATTACAAGTACCAAGAAAAACGTATTTTAAAAGAAGAATTAGATTGACATTGTCAATGTTTTTTAAAAATAATTTTTCCGACGTCTAATTATTAAGAATTACTTTCTCAGTTTTCTATTTAACTTGTTTCTAAATTTTATTCTTTTTTATTTTTAAGAATAATAGTAATAATAATAATAACAACAACAACAACAAGAATAATAATAATAATAATAATTCTTAATGGGATCTGATCTGATTCGATCTGATCTGATCTGGTCTAATCTGATCTGATATAATCTTAATAAGAATAAGAAAAAATAAGTTGAACGGAATGGGGCCTAAAACATTGAAAATATATCAAAATAATACTTCTATGTTTTTATTCCCGAAACATGACTTAAAATGCAATTACATTAGCAAACATGGTTATGTACATTACCAAAAAGTAAAGTAATGTGCACATGTACAGTGTTACATTACAACCACATTACCACAGTACATAGTCTTATTTTGGGAGAAAAACATGAACGTCCTATTTTAGTACTTTTCTCTATGTTTTAATCCTATTTAGGGTGATTTCTATATCTTTATTACTTAAATAAGCATTTATTTTTTTAAATAAACAAATATTTTTATATGGAAGAAGGTCCACAAAATAATATGCACCCAAGAAGCACGCATTCATAATAGGCTTATTATTACATAATAGGTTAGCTCAAACATACAGATATATAGGCATTTTTGAGTGCTATTGACTATACTAAAAAGTAGTATCTGTTCATATTATTCTCAACTTAGATGGGTGTATTTAATTTCGATTTCAAAAGATTTTGAGAAATTATTTTAGAATATACAGATTATGTGAAATGTGTGGATTGTTTTAATTTAACATAGAGTTGAATAGATTTCAATGCATTTTATGTACAAGATTTTATAAGATTTTGTCAGATTGTTTAAAGTCCACGGATTATGTGAGTTCATTATTATTTTAAACTAGTATTTTGACCCGTGCGATGCAATTTTTGTCAATTCTGAATTTTTTCAGTGCAATGTATTTTTCAGAATAGACAACAACACCAAAGTAGAATAAATAATACTTGACGAATTGAAAGTATACTCGAAAAAGTCTTTTTTTATTCCAAATTTTCTAAAAGACTTCAAGGTACACAACATTTTTGGCATGGTTTCAACTTGTAAAGATTTCCATTGTCATCTAGAACCTATATTTGTAATCATGTCTTTGTTTTCATTTGTGAAACAGTAACATACAGCTGACCATGGATAAATACCGAATTGGTTAAAAATAATATAGCAAATGACAATGTTTGATCTTGACTTTTGTTAATCGTCATAGCAAAACATAAGACTATTGAACTATTGCGAATTGTCCTGAATCAGATGGTACCAAATTAATTCGGGGTTTGTAAATGTTTTTCTCAACACGATTTTCCAAAACCACAATTGCACTGATAATGTTCTTTCGTAGCTCTTCAATGATTAATTTTCTACCATTACACAATCCAGATGTTTGGACAAAATCCTTTAATAACTTAATCGGTACCCTTTTTTAAAGCTATTTTGTGGTTTCGTATCAAGAGCATTTGATTTCATTAAAAAGTTCAACTATTCTTCAATCATTTCCAACACCTACATCTAAATATGCTTGGCATGAAGAATCAGAATTTAAGTTCTCCTTTTCATCTCTTAGAATAAGAGATAGGACAAATTCATTTACCATTCAACAACCTCGAGCATGAGTGCGAATAGTGCACTATCTTAAAAAAAGAATAATTTTTCATGTTCTCCGATAGGTTCCGATAAGTGAAGTCCACTATACTCTTCAGGGATAACTTGTGTCAAGAATCAAGAATTCGGGCGAGATTTCAACATTAGTAGTTCCGTCAATCACTTGACCAAGATTTTCATCTCCGACTTTGATTATCCAATTAAAAAAAGCTTGTGTGTCCCTCTCTGCGCAAGAGGGCGTAGAAGAATGCAATGTCATATTTTTGGTCATTGGAACCACTTTACAATACAACCATATTTTTGAGGAATTGGTGGTAGCACCTACAATTTCCTCTCTCAAAGTTTTGAGTAAACTGAAAGAATTTAGACAAAATCACCTCCGAGTACAACTATTTTCTCTTCAAATGATTCATTTCTAGAGTTACTATTAGAGAACTTCATTACATCTCTCATTGTGCAATCCAATGTCTCAAAATCAAATCTATTCATCGTATGGGTAGATTATTCATCTCATATGATTATACTTGTTGGATTAGTTCTACTTTTGGGCTCCCTTGTTTGATGGCACACAGTGAATGCTCAAAGAGTTCCAAAGAAATTAAGGATCTGGAGTGTGATGTCCTTCCCCTAGGCAAAAGCAATGCTACAATGCAGCTAGATGCGAAATTCAAGACAA